TTGTAAAACTTATTGGAAATGTAATTTAAGATCGTTTAAAAATGCGTTAGGATTCAAAACCAATAAATCCCTAGTTTCTATAGTACGGTAGTTCCTCCCAAGCGCGTGGAAACAAATGAAACACAGAATATTTCAGAATTGTTCGAGCATAGGCATAGAGTGTACAAATTTAAGATGACCACCGTGTCTAAAGTTGATTGTTATGTAAGTAAAAATATCAAGAGATAATCAGTGGTACTTAGGCCTACTACTCTTCTTCGTATCGAAGTCATTATCGAGGTCATTTCATTTAAATATAAAATAAAAATAAGTAAAACACACGTACTTAAATATATAACAATAAATAATTAAAGTTCAAAATAAAATAGGTAGGGACTAGCAAATTACAGAAGATTATAGCTCACTGTGAATCGGCTGATTAAATACGAAGACAAAGATATATTATAAAAACAAAAAGTAAGCACAAAGCGAATACTCATATCAGAATTACTTAATTAGCATCATCCAGAATGAAGTAGTAAATACAAGAGAGTTAAACATCGGAGAGTGGAACAGGGAGAGAGAGAGAGAGAGGGAGAGAGAGAGGGGGGAGAGTCAGTTCTCGCAATGATGAGGAGACCCTGCAGAAGTTAAAGAAACGAATACAATACTAATTAACTGTAGAAGAATACATGGTGGTGCAAAAATAATCGCGTATATGGAGGTGATTTGTGATCATGCTGCAACGTGTCAATCTAGACCGTGAGATTCTGATTGTCCGAGTCACGTTTACAATCAGTTATTGCAGCTAAAATGTATCGGATAGATGGAAATTTAGTAAAACGACAACATTATAGAAAAGGCCTAGTTATACCTCCTTTTTCTTTCCTTTGTTCTGATTTTTTTTGTTTGTTTGTTTGTTTGTTTGTTATCACAATTGTCTTGATTTGGCGTTTAATGTACAGTCGCCCTCAATTCGAGACCACTTTTGGTAGACCACTGATCTGAGGGTGGTCTCTCTGTGTTCTCGGTTAGCGTTAATGGATTGAAGAAGTGGCCGTTCTCGGAAGGGTCTCGGAATTAGAGGTGGGTCTCAAATTTAAGGGTGTATTTAAATTATATTTAGAAAAACTCATCATTTTTCCTGTTAAATTTTAATCATATTTTATCAAAGTGATTGCAATAAAGTTTATTCGTTCGTCAATATTCATCGTAATCACCAAATATGCTTACAATAGAAAGAAATCTAATTGGTTTGACTCATGTAGCCTATTATGAACCAGATAATCATATTTGAACAATTTGTTCCCTATCTTTAAGATTTGGAAAATCATTTTGTATAGGCCTATTGTGTTTGACATTTTAATTATGTTTATTGTTTTACTATATTAATAATTGATGCACTCAATTTTATTTTCCTTCGGGCGAAAAATACTAGTATGTGTATAAGAATTAAAAAAAAGTTTGTTGGATTTGTTCAGGATTGTAGTATCGTTATGTCAGGAAATATATATTGGCCATATTTGAAAATTGTTGTTATATCACATTCAATTCTACGTTAATATTTCATGTACGATAAATAATTTATTTAATATCCATTTGTTGAGTCGGCAATTTAAACAATGAACTTTGCATCGAACTCGGAAAACTTTGCAGTTTCATTCAGAGTTATACCAACTTAGAGAGAAACAAAAGTTTGAGCTACAGTTCATTCCACGGTGACCTGGATCTCGGCTCTGGGGTCCGATTATTTGAACTATCAAACAAATCAAGGAACAAATCAATAATACAGAAGACCCAGGACTCCAGCAGACGCTTCTTGTTTACTTTTTACACCCTTGCAATTGCCGAGCCCAATGACGTCATATACGTCACTCGTGTCTTTACCTATATGTATTCATACGCGGATTATAATTCTTACGAAAGTTTTACATTATGATAAGATAAAAATATAGTACAAAACAGATAAGACACGTTATTTTTGCCATTACGTATGTGATAATATTTATAAAAACAATATGAACTGAAATGGGCGGAAATTAGAGTACTATACTGCGAAAACTTTCCGGGCGTATTTAGAATTTGTTTACCGAGAAGTGATAACGGGGTCACTACATATTAATGAACGTATCTTGTGTACATTTGGCCACCATTTCCGGAGATACTCTATAGAAATGTGAAATATAGCACGCTAAATCGTCCGTAAAGCATTATTTATGGTAAGCCATTTACCTGCAGGAGTATACCTTGATATATTAAGAAAATGCTTGTTTTTGTTTCGAGTGTATTCGATTTTGTATAAACCAGTATTTTTGCAGGAGATATATGGTATTCGTTTTCTGCTTTTCCCCGGTGCGAGAAGGCATACAGAGGGAGCCCGTTTGCAGCCTGTTTGCACGAACATAGATTGAGACTTCGTGTATGGCCATGCAGACAGCCGCAGGCGTGCTCTCGACAGTGTCTATGTGGCTATGGTACCTGAAGCCTAGTGCCAGACCTACCAAACTTGTAATCCATATTTATGTCTATTCGTTTTGTCTTTGAAGTAAATATATTGCATGTAATAGCGTGATTAAGTCTGGCTAGGAATGCCTGGTGTTGGCGGTGTTTAATATTTCTGATCAACCCTCTCTGTCCCTCTCTCTGCTCTCGAGTCTAGCGCCTAGGCTAGGCCTAGGCGTTCTCTATGTGTCTGAGTAGTCTAGGCCTAAATTAGGCTAGGTAGATTTAATTGTATGACATAAGTATGTTACATGAAGAGATTGTTTGCGTGTAGGGCCTATATGTAATGATGTATCTCCAATTTTATTGCACAGTTCAGTTCATCATGTTGTTTGTAGTTTATATAAACAAAACCATGGATACATGCAATTGTATATTGTTTCCCCCACCATATTATTACAAAGCTGGACCAAAAAAAAAGTGACATAATGACCAATGGTAAACATGGAATAAGAGGAATTGAGCAGTGTAGTAATTAATGTAGTTAAATTTAACTGGATGATGTATTTTAAATATTTAATTACTTAGTGAACTTAATAATAATACTCATGAAGTTTACCTGTCTGGAGATGATTATCTGAAAATTGTTTAGGTCCTATAGGTTTGGAAAGTTTTTAAAATGATTTGTCATCAATGTTTAATGCCTGAAAAACAGCATAGATACCATGCTTTAACTTGTACACTCTTGTCTCACCCATGCAAGCACGTGCAACTGCAAAAAATACCATATTCATTAGGCAATATGGTGGTAATGGTCATTTTCACTTTACAGGGTGTGAAAAAAATAAAATTGGTAATACTTTGTATTTTTAGCTAACAATTTAACTGAGGAAAAACAATAGAGCACACTACAACTACAAACATATTTGCAGGCCCTGGCCTACATAAAGAAATATGCTAGGCTAGAGAGGCCATGATAAAGTACAAGGCTTAATTAAAACATTCGACCATTGATGCTGTAAACTAGGATTGTGGAAACTGTGTTTCCTTCTTCATATTAATTCTACAAAAAAAAAAAAAAATGTGAGTCATAATTGTTCAATTGCAGAGTACCTAAATTATTATTTTTCAATTTCATATGAATATATGTATATTAATTGATGATACAGTACTTCCATACCTGAAAAATGAACTCGCAATTGTTTCTATCTATACTGCTGTACAGTACCTTCACTAGTTCTTGCTTTCTATCATATTTATAGATTCATAATTAATTTTAAATTATATAATATAAGAAATCAATTTTTCCAGGTTGATGCAACTACACACTTTATTAAATATTATTATTTGGCATTAACAAATCTCAAAAGCATCTGGATTTTGTCTAGGATAATATAGTATTCTTATATCTTAAGTATCATTTTATCATTTGCTATTATCATTATCATTTGTAAAGATATAATAAACAAACTTATCTTGTATTTTAATTTTTTAATACCACATTATTTAATACCAAATGATCAAAATATTATTTGTTTTTAATCAATTTTCTGCATTTTCAATTTATTTAAAAACCATTGTACATTATTTATCTCGGTTAAAAAAGGAAGTAAATAAATGTTGAATTGAATTTAATTTAATTTGAATTTATAGTAAACTAGTTCAATGCCGTATTGTATCAATTACTATACATAATATTGCATGATTATTAATCATGACTTGGTCTAATCTTTGATACAATATTGTGAAGTGTTTGCGATATATAAAGCATACAATCTCTTGGAGAAGCATAGGGCGGCTGATGATGACATATTATTAACATTGGTGAAGGAGATAAACTTTGAACCATTATTATATTACTGGCAGAATGTTAGATTGATAATGTGTAGATAAATTAGACACAGTGTGTGGTGTCTGGTGTAATCTATAAAATCCCACAAAATTGCTCATTTAAAAGGACAAGTCGAGTTGAGTGGCCGAGCGGTAAGGCAGGGACGCTGCTAACTACAGCCGTAACATCGGCCCTGATTCGAACCGCTCCTTGTTTAAGGTTTGGTTGGCACCTGTAAAATCAATTCTTCTCAGATAAGAACTTAAAATGGAGGCCCAGTGTGCACACCTGTCTTGTGAGCAATTTATAGAAGCCATTGTATCTTTCGGAGAGATGGTTCGATTCAGTCCCCATTGTTGTGTATTGATACGAATATGCACTACTATAAGCGCTTCTTTACGGCAACTACTCACGGACCATGCCCATACTGTACGTAGCACTGTTCAGCATAATGATGCAGTACAAAATATAGCAAATGCGATTTTAAAAATTTATTACATAAGAATAAAATAAATGTTACCCACAGCTGTAAGAGTACCGTATATACGTGAGTATAAGGCTGTCTGCATCGATGACTTCCGAGTTTGAGAATATTTTTATGTGTTTTTCAGACAACCCCCTCCCCAATTTCATTGTCAGAATTCCTACTTTTTGCTGCTTTTTTATGGTCTTGATACTGCATTTAGCTGGCTAAAAACCAAATGTATGGTAATACCATATTATGAGCTTTTAAAGGTTTATCAAAACCTTATTTGCCCGCTTGAGTTCTATCCTGGGTTCCAGACCCTGATTTTTGGTTACACACTTTTTATTGCGCTTATGGCACGCCATACCTAATTTATTTGGCGTCTCAACATTGTTAAAAAGGTACTGTACTGTATTATTAAGTAAGAACTTAAAAGTAGGCCCACCAAGCCTCTTTTTACTACAACCAGTATTAGTTTAGACTCTAGAGACCTAGTAGGCTATTCTATCGGAAAGTTCTGCTGTCTCAAATTTAACTTGCTCATTGGTGGCGCTGTCCAGAATGAGAAAAAATAATAATTAGGCACTTGTGGCAAATCTAGTTGAGTTCATTCATACTAACAATTAGTAGCTTCATTTCAGTAGTAAATTCGCGTGTTGCAGACCATTTGCACTTAAGACAAACATGATTTAAAGATCGAAAATTTGTATGTGTTGCGCATATACTGTAAGACGACCCCCCTGTTTTTTTAAAATTGTAATATGCTGTTTAAAGCCTTGTCTTATACGTGAGAATGCCATGTTCACATGTAATTTTTTTTTTTAAATTAAGAAAGGGGTTAACACTTCAAGGCCTAAATCTGACTATTTGAATCCGGACTAATGCAGTACTGTATGTTTTACAGTAATGAGATTGTTAATTGTTAAAAGTACAGTCAGTTGTTTTAAAAAAAAAAAAATCAGTATTCCTATTTGCCATACTGTACCTACCACATGTTTAGTTATATTTACATACCACATGTTTAATTATACCTGAAAGTACTACCCAAAATTGGCCAACAATAGATAATCAAGTAATATAAAATAATGAAATCAATAAATCATGATCAACAGCGAGGTAAAAGCAATGTACAATAGTTGGATATCTTCTATCTTTCACATCTGGTATTAAAGAAAGGGAAGATGAGGTACTTCCTTGGTTAAATTCTCAGTCATTTGCAATTATTGGAATACTGTAAATTAACAAGTACGGTAGGCCTCACTGTAAATCTTAACTCCCGGGCACAATCAACTCCCTTGTAATCTAAATTTAAATGATCACGCTGTGTTTAGCAACTGTTCTTTAACATGCACTTTTTGGTCAAATACAGTATTGTACTGTACGTAGGAACCAACAGCTTAAAACATTTTTCCTAAAATATTGTGGAGTACAATCAGTATTTCAAAGGGGAGAACCATGGAATAGAACCAGAGACAAAGATTTCTGGTTTACTGCAAATTGGTTACCACCATTGCTGCTCTTGATATAGAGAAAAATTGGAAAAAAGGAGTGATTAATTAGAAAAGAGCCAAATTTTTGAAAAAGAAAAAACAACTATATTGGATATAAAATACTGTCACAATACTGTAGATACAGGCCATAAACAATGTTTATTATAGTTGATGAATGAAATTTCCACAATGTAATACAAAGTCATTTTTATAGGTGTTGTGCTTCTTTTAATACACATACATGTATATCACATTATGACATTTTGCTCCCTAGTGTTCATACAACTGAGATCATATATGGTACTTGTAGTTTAATGATGTGATATATCATGGCTATATTATAGTTATCCAAATTTAACCCTTGCACTATATCATCACTTCCAATAATAAATCATTGGAAGTGAATAGTAGTTCAAAGGTCAGATTTGAAAAAATGTATGCAAGTTAAGATTAATTTTCTACTTGCACAAGTTATTCTATTAATCATTATTATTGATGGCTATATGGATAAATTATTTGACCATACATAGCTTTCAGACATACTTGTGTTTTGGTGCTTTAATTTACTGACCCAGTTCTCTGGACTGTTAAAGTTTAATAAATATTAAATAAAAATGTGAATCTGAGATTAAGGAAATTTTTTAGTTTGTTTCCCTAGATAGAATGATGTTTTGTTATTGATTTATTTCTTTGATGTGACATTCTTATTTTCTTCATAGGATACGGTATGGTTTAGAAATGTGCTGAGGCCTTGAAGGGATAAAGGCTAAAGATGCAGAACCATAGAAATCAACTGTTGACTTCACCTGTACCGGAGGATTTATCAAAGCCCCGAGTACTAATGATCAACACAGGACAGAGGCGCCTTTCTGCAGACAGTTGTGGAACACCCGTACACACTCCAGTGAATACTGTACCGCCACCCAATGTACTGTCACAGAATTGTACCCCAGTCCACACCCCAGTTAATACTGTTCCTCCTCATAATCCTTTGTCATCGAATGGTACCCCTGTACATACACCAGTTAATACGGTGCCACCACCTAACCCACTTTCAAACAATAATAATGCATTGTCTGCTGCAGTGGCTTATCAGTTACAACAGCAACAACAACAGCAACAACAGCAGCAACAGCAGCAACAGCATCACCAACAACAACAAAGCTATATAGCTGATAACATGAACATGGCTATGAATCCGACATTTGAACAACAAGTAATTGCTCAGCTGATGGAAAGAAGTGCTGTTCCACCAATGAACAACCAGACGAAGATGCCTTCAGCTACCCCTCCCACACCCACCTCTCCAAGAGACCTGTCTATGAGGGCAATGACTAGCTCTCAGCATGCTGAAAACGATGTAACACATCAACAACAACAACAGTACAGTCCTGTTTACACTGAACAACAATCAGTTGTACGTCAAAATCACAATGTTCTCCAGGGACAAAGAGGATACCAGACAAATATCTACCAAAGCAGTGTTTGGCCATCATTCAATACACAACCTACCACTAGGTTTGCTTTTCGCAGTGGTCAGGATGCTATGGTAGGTTTTAATCAGGCAACATTTGCACAGTTACAATCCAACACTCTTAACCCAATGAGCAATTTTCTTAAACAAGAAGATGGTTTTGTTAATCAAAGTATGGATGCTTATGGCGTTACAAGGGAGATACCTCATCTTGGCATGCAACAGGTTCCAAATTTTATCAGACAACCGATATTTGTTCAGAATAATACCAAGATGTCTCTGGGGAAAGGATCCCATGAAAACAATAATGAAAAGTCTTCACCTAATATACAATCAATTGTTGATGCTACACAAGGCCCTGTGAACATGACAACAAAGAACATATCACCTTTGTCGGTAAACGTTTCCCTGGCTTTGGGGGATGTATCTCAGGATAGTCCATCTCTGACACGTCAGAGTCCGTCATTACGTTACCGTCCTCCCGGTGATCAGATGCTAAGTGCCATAAATTGCAACGAGGAGCTGCTTCAAGATGGAGGGTTAATGCCGGAAGCCCAGGTACCGGTATCGTTAGAAGATTCTCTGTTACAAGGTGGCATGGTGATTACTACTACTGGTGGCAGGCTGAATGACACTAATTTGACTCTTGATTCTAACCCTGCTAGTGTCAATAGCAGTGCCTTTGACATCTTTGAAAACAGTGGAGATGTCGAAGATCAGAACTACATGGGGGATGCGCTGTCACCGCAGTCACTTAGTATGGATACAGAACCAACCAGTACTCTACCTTCCATGACAAGTGCGTCTAGTGAAGTGCAAGTCCGACATAGCGCAATTGGAGACATACAGCAATCCTCGTTGCAGGGTGAGATATGATATTATCTTAATTATTATTGATGACATTTTTTACCCACAAAAATTATGTTTAAGATATCTCTTTTGTCAATGAAGTTGCAGTTCGCATAGTCTTATACAAATTTAAAATAGAAAAATTGTCTGATAAAATAGATAGATAAAAAAAAGGATATTTACAACATTTTATTATTCCAGAGAGGGTACATATTATTAGAATTTTTTTTTAACTACTTGACTGTAGTCCATCAGGACATTAGTAGTGTCCACAAGACGCAGAAGCGGTTTGGCGCAGCCGGAACGGTTTGGTTTCCCAACCTCGAAGTCTGGGTTTCATCTCTCGCTATGCATTTTGCTTGTGTCCTTAAGCAAGACACTTTATCTGCCTTGCTTCTCTCCACCCAGGAGTATAACCTGGTGGGGTTACTTGCTCCTGCGCTGATTGCCAGCAGCAACATTTATGCATGTGGACCCAATGAAGAGGGAAAACAAAATGTGCTTTATAACCTCAAGGAAGAGGCGCGTTATAAATGCATATATCAGTACCAGTACCAAAGGACAGTGGATACAAATGTCTTTAGATTAAGTGCTATGGTGCTTCATAGAGTACATCACTAAAGTATTGTAGCACATATTTAAGAGTAACGCTTACTGTTTTGAACATTAAAAAAAAAATGTTCTTAAACCCACAGCATCGAATAGTGGCCCTGCGGATATTGCACCAGCGCCGAAGGCCAAGAAAGGACGGCCACGGATTGGTCAGGGACATCGCTATTCTCAGGCATGTCCAGTCTGTGGCAAGATATTTGGAAGCTCCAGCGCTTTGGCGAAACACAAGCTGATTCATAGTAGTGAGAGGCGCCACAAGTGTGTGATCTGTGCTAAGAGCTTCAAGAGACAAGATCATTTGTAAGTAAAATGTTATTGTTTTACCCATATGAATATACCATTGTGAACTGTACAATATACTTTCAGTATATTTAATCTACTGTCAAATAGAGGACTACTAGAAAAAACAAATTTTATTTTGACCATGAAAATATATAGGCCAGTGTTCTCCCAAAGCTGTCCTAGCCGTCAATTTTACCGGTAAAAATAACCGGCCAATTGGTAAAAATTCTGTGTTTGTAAAATAAAAAACACACTAGGTAGCCTAGACTGGCCTTCTTTCAATAAATGATCATTCCAGTCTACGCCTAGGCTTACCCTGGTATTCTTAAAAAGAACTTTAGTCGTAGTTCCAGCTAAAACTTAAAAATTACGTCATTTCGTATTCTTAAAACGAACTTCAACTAGCACTACGACTAAATCACACAAACCTCGACTAAAATAATACCTCTGCAGGCCAATTATTTTAGTCAGCCTGGGGTCAGGCTAAATCCCCGACTTGAAATATTTATCCCAATAAAAACATACTTTTTGTAACTCGCAATAAAGTGAAACGAATAAAAACTATTGTATACGCAGGTCTGATATATCTTTAGTGTGTTAAACAAAAGAGATATCAAGTTTAGCTTCCAAAAGGAGAAATTAATATGTTTTGCTAGCCACATGCGATAGTTCCTGATTTGCACGAAATCCCTTCGCATAGCTTCACCATAACAACAAAAAAGATGGTGCCGCCCTCACTCAGACTCAACTATAATAGTTATATGCCAACGACTAATAATAATATAGTTATTATTATAGAAAATTAATTAAGCGATTGATTATCTATTATAAATTATGAGGAAATATGTTTTTGAACCGTGGCAGCTTAATATTCATCCGCGTAACCCGATCTCTAAAATTTCATCTGCTATTAAAATGAGCTCTTTTCATTGGTTAGTTGATAGTCGTCGTTTGCCAGCTGTCTTCAGCTGAACTAAAACTAGGACTTGATTTAGTCGTAGTTCGAACTTTTACCACGCTACGCTAGTCTTAATGGGGTTGACTTATATCCAGTTAAATGTAGCATGTTTTAGGCTTGAATATAATTGATTGAACAAGTATTAACATTGAAATTACTGAAACGTTTACAAAATCACAAATGCAGGGGCCTTAAGTTGGAAGAAGTCGCTTTTGTCAGATCTGGTTAAATGAACTTTCTTAACCCATCTAACTTTATTTTGCTGCGCATGGCGATGCCTATCAGCACTGTTTTCTGTGTGACAGTTTTTAATCAAGTAGTAAAAACATGCAAATATTATGAATTTTTGGAAGATGGGATATTTTCCAGGGGATTCTTGCTTTGCTTGCGGGAATGTGGGAGACTTCTGATTTTCAGAAAATTCCCATGACTTGCAGGAGACTTGGACCCCTGCATATGATGCGAATGAATGTTAGAATTGTTTGTAAGGATACATCATCAGCATCATTCAGCATCATCTTCCTTTGTTTGATGTGTGGATTCCTTTGACAACTGCTAATGTCAATCAGTTATGTTATAGGTCAAATGAATAGCAGATTGAAGGCTCCCAAAAAGTGATCATTATTTATGTTGTTGATCTTAACGTGTTATGTTGTTGGTTACAGACATTAATGTTTCTATGCCAAAATATATTAAATTATATGAACTGTTAATGCCCACCATTTCGTCATTACAATTGGAATGAATATAGCATTGATATGCTTGTAGCACATGATCACCATTAAAACTATTAGTTTCTGCATCAATTTTTATATAGTCTTTTACTGAGAAATTATGTATAGAGCAGTAAAATAGATGCTTTTAAAAAGTAACAAAATCATCATTAATCATTCATATGATGGAACTCTTCCATTATAAGCTGTCCTTCGCAAGGTCGCTAATCAACACTGTACAGCTAACCCTGCATCAATTCTCTTAATAGCCTTAGTAAAAAATGGATAAGTATTGACTGTATCACACCACAATGGGGGATTGAGTTTGCAATCTAGAGTGGTGGAAGATATTATGCTGGCTAGGTATTGTGTACAAATTTCAAAAATGACATATTGATGAATATTATTAAGGAAATGAGGATGCATGTTGAGAATTATAGTGTGTTTGATCTGGTTTGTTAGGAAAGTGTGACAATAAATAATGTTAATTACTAAAAAAAAAAAAAAAAAAAATAGACATCGAAGTCTGGGATATTCAGATGGCCAATATTATTACAGTATGCATTAATGAAAACTCTTTAATTCTACAATTGCGAACAAGAAATAAGTTGGTTGAAGATTTTTTCAGATTCAGATTTATTTATTTTGTCCAAAAACAAAAGAACATTACTGTAGGTGCAAAAGAGACATCGCAAAAAAAGACTTTAAAAAACACATAATTTAATGGTATACTGTACTAAAATGTTTGCGTAAATACTTTAGGCCTATTCAACATATTTACCGTATATTCCGGTGTATAAGCCGCAAATTTTATACGCGATTTTCCCGCCGAAGTTTGGGGTGCGGCCTATACACCGGTCATTAACATACTCCCAAAAAAGTTCAGATCGCGAGCTGCGGCGAAAATCAGGCATTGTCTGTCTAGGTTAGGCCCATGCTAGCTCAATTAATTAGCCTAGCCTAGGACCGGTTTGTAGCCCTAGTATTTGTAATTATACTCACTACAGTACTGTACTAGGATTCCTACTACATTTTCTACGACATTCAAGCAATAGTTTGGGTTGCCTAAATAATTATTTTCATTTTTAAACAATTTTGAAACACGCTGTTTCGGTTCGAAACCGCTTCGCTCAAAACAATAACAAACTACTTTTCGGGAGTTCGGTCCTCGAGGTCATGTGAGTCATTTTCGATGTCGCCACAAAACACACGTGGGCTGGTGAAACTTGCAGCTCGTCGTCTAGTTCCCGGTGGCTTGTACCATTATAGAGAGAATATTGATACCGCTATAATTTTAGAATAAAAACATGTGAAATTCATTTATGCTATAAATACGAGTTTTCTTGAAGTTGTAATAATTATTTTACTGGAATTTAACTGTAGAAAGGCATACGTCATCTGGGCATGCGTGAACTTTGTATCCAATCCACGATATTTTTTGTTTATAAAACGTGGTGCGTGATGGTGCATGCTTCACACAGTGGGCTGTGACTAGTAATGACTTAGGCCTAGAATTACCAATATTTTTAGCCTAATACCGACTGTTATTAGTCAACATAATAATAGAATGATTGTTTAGAATAGATAAATATACTCAATAAGTTTTTTATTTTATTAAACTTAAACTAAACTGATGTTGAAAATTTAACGTAGCGCTAGCGCACGACCGTCTAGCAAAAAATGGGGATTTCCCTAGGACTGCCTAGAGCAAGAATACGTTGTTAACATGGCGGTAGCCAGCAGTTTACACGCATTTCCAGTTGTTTGTTGTTTAATACGGTAATCGGCCGAAAGAGATGAAATTTCTTTACGTGAACATTTATAAATAATGTCAATGTTTCAAAATAATTAAAAACTTAATATTATGGGAACGGTTTGGAGCTTAAAAATAGGTGCGGCTTATACACAGCTAACACAAAAAATCGTGATATTTCACGTCCTAACTTGCTGGGGCGGCTTATACACAGGTGCGGCTTATACACCGGAATATACGGTAAAGAGTTTACTGGCCGCTATTAAAATTTCTTATGGAGTATGGTACAAAGGAATTATGACAACTCTCAGTTTTTGTGCGTGTTGGATTTTAACTTCCTACCAGATGGTAACCATTGATAGAGATTGTTTATTTAAAGGAGAAGTAATATCCGTTTATTATATGTTTCATTTTATCTACTATCCTTTCTGTCACAATATGCATCGAGCAGTTTAAATTTGACTTCGTGCCAACCCTCTTAGTCTAGTCTGACTTTGCTTGCTGATGCAAATTTTTTTTAACCTCCTGTAAATGATCTAATAACGGTCTCCTAACAACGCGCCTCTCTCAAATACGTGCCTAAGTGCCTCTCTCAACTAAGCGCCTAAGAGCCTCTCTTAAATAAGCGCCTATGCACTTCCCTCAAATATGCGCCAACGCACCTTTTCAGTACGCAAGGATGCGCTTCTCAAATTAGTGCCACACCAAAGCTTTTAATGAGTGCTAATCTTGAATATGTGCACTGTTAAAGTTAAGTTCAGTCTTGTATGTTGTACTACTACTACACTTTGTCTGCAGTTTAGGCCTATTATTTTGGTTCCCATTTTTGTCTACCTATTGTGGACTATATCTTTGGTGGGATTAACCCTTTTGTCTAAGCATTCTGGTTTTTTATGACCTTGCCAATTCCGGAGCAAGTTTCCTGATGTTCTATTGTAGTACAGTTCATGTCTTTTATAGATCTCATTATAGAAGGAAGTTGTTAATAGGATGGTTTGTTATGTATATTCTGTGTGGAAGATAGAAAAAATTGTTACATCACTCGCACATGCATCACCAATTTTGGCCTGCATCAAGGATTTTTGTTTGAAATTCTATGTCAAATAAAAGTTTACATGCAAAGGAGGTTCACATAAAAAAGACAACATGTCCGACTCGAGCATTTGTTATTTTTATAGTGATAATTAGCGTTTAATGATCAAATGCAAAAGAAATTCCTACCACTATAACGTATATACTGTAACAATTCGGCCAGACTGGGTGTGTGGATAACTGTGCACTGATCACACAGGAAACATGAGGATTGCAAACTCTCAGCCCCCCCCCCCCAGTTGAAAGGGGTCCCAGGGGACCTCTTCCGACTAATACACAGTACACTTTCAAGCCAAGATGTTATGAACTACTGTAGTACACCCTGAACTAGCAAATTAAAACAATGTAAAAGCTGGTTTTTAACTCGCAATATGTGTTATGTGCAGTGAACCTTTCAATACTTATTTTGTACTATAGGCCTATATTAATTTTCGACCCAAAAATGTTCCAAAGCAGGACTGCGCTGTGCAAACTGAAATTTAAATAGATCGAAAAATAGTCCATCATTTCTAAGGAGCGCGAGCGTCATTGCTTTTCTTTGCGCTCCTGAACACGCTCTCAGGAGCGCTTGTCCATAAAAAAATTTATCAAATTTTGCAAATAAATCGACAATATATAAAGCCGCAAATTTTATACGCGATTTCCACCATGAAATTCAGGGTGCAACCTATACACCAGTTATCAACCTGCTCCGCAAAAATTCTAGTTTGTGAATTGAGGAGGCAAAAATCGTCTAGGTTAGGCCGAGGCTACCACTGTTAATTAGCCTAGGTTTTTCTGGCCTAGTATTGTAATTATACTCACTACAGTGTGACAAGGATTCATACGACATTCAAACAATGGTTTGGGTTGTTAAAATAAATATTTTTAGATTACTTTCATTCATAAACATTGTTTGAAACACATTGCACGTGTTTGAACCCAGTTCGCTCAAAACAATTTAATAAACATCTTTTTTCCTCCTCGAAGTCACGTGAGTAGCTTCACGAACATCGTCTCAAAACGATTATTGATTGCCCAAAATGCCTCAGAAGTTATTTTTGCTGGGCGTCTAGAAAACAAAATTCCCCGGGGGCATGCCGGATTCCCCTAGGGTAGTGTTGTCTCTCAATTGCCCTCCCCTAATTTGGACACCTAGATCCACCCCTGGAGGTGGGGTCGTCTATTCAAAACTCTAAAATTTTCAAGGAGAGCAATTGCTTTCCTGAGACATCCGAAGAGAGCAATTTAGTGCTTTCCTGTGTTTAAAAGGATTACTGCAATTAACAGAATTTGAATGAAATTATAATACAGTAATTATAATATCCTACAATAAAAAAATGTATATAATTTCTACCTCTCTAGTTAAATATTCATCACCTAATGTACTTAAAGTAGGATTGGTTTTGTTGTTATACATTCAAACAAATAAATGGTGCACTAAACCAGGGTTAAGTTGGTTTGGCTTTCTATTTTCAATCGTGGACAGCAAAAAATATGCATTCTTAAGAAAAAATGTGTGATTCTGAACAGATTTTCAGTTGTAAATACAACCATAAAATAGCAAAGAATGCATTTCTGGGTATCTAGGTAAAAAACATTTGGGGTGGTGGTGCGGGGAGTGGGGGAGAGGAATGACCCGGACATCCCCCTTGGGGAGAGGTTTTAGAAAAAAAGTCTCATGCCTGCAAATTAGTTGAACTTGACATGTATGCAATCTTTGGCTTAAAAACCTGTTACGGCCCAATGCTGATCATCTGTAAAAAGTAATATTAAAACTGAGCATAGAGCAATGTAATAACACTCTATGAAGCAGATTGAATCATCAAGTTTTCAGCATAATTAAAAACAATAAATTAATTCAATACAAAGAACTAATTATTATGTAGAGAGCCAGTATTAGGTCGTGTGACTATTGATGCGTAGAAGGTCATTGTGTAGCCTGAACAATACACCCAAGTCCTACTTTGCATAAAGAATCTATGTTGCAATTTAAACCAGTCAATACCAACTGTATGCTTGAATGGTCGTCAGAAGGTAAACGTCATTCCCGCTGCAAGGTTGCATTTCTTTCAATTTTTGAATATGTTGCATAAAAATTGTTTTATTTATAAAAAAAAGGTCAAAGGTTATATGTGTAGGAATGAAGATAGTGAAGTTTTGATTGTCACGGGTCAACTATAAGTAGGAAAGAATGAGTTACCACAACTATCGATCAGGAAGTGTTGTAGGCCATATAACTGTGGTTTTTTGCACTCTATCTGTTATGGCCTAAGCACAGTGATAGGTGTTAACATTGACAACGGTGTCTATCAAATAGGTGTACATTATGTCGTGGAGTGAATATCCACACATTCTGAGAGGCCATTACAAGGGAATGTATTTTGGGCATGTAAGGTATGTTGGATGGATAAGTTCATGGGCTAAGTTGGTAGCCAAGTTACAGGGGTATTACATTATCTTGTGCATAGTTTTAAATATGCTTTATGGAATGCTAATTAAATCTTCAAAACTTGATTTGTTTTCTTTTCACTTGAACATTACACTGGCCAGTTGTATTTTTTGATAGCGGACTATGATTGCTAAGTGATAGATCATGCATATTGAATGTACTTTATACAGTATGTGCATATACTGTACGATTTTTTTTTATTTGGTTTATTAACACATAACAAACAATGATTTATGAAATCATACGACAATCTTGGCCCAAGATTAATAATTCTACCTTGCTAATGCTGTGCTATTTACTAAGTAAGTTTAGATTGTTGCTAAGAATGAAGTAAACCACACAAACTTGATTTAATCTCATATTATTTAATGTTTAAGATCCTGATCTAATTCCATCCCTCATGTGAAGGACAGAAATTGACAAATGCATTTCTGTGGTAAATTTAATAGATTGAAACTGCATTGAATTTATATGTTTACTTGATAATAGAGTATTATGTTAAAATTTACATTACATTTAATCAGGGCTTTTTTATTGTACATGCGAGGGATAGACATCAATGGAACTGATAAACCCTATTATTTTTTCCATAATTACTTCTATAGGCTACACATTATGAGTTTTTAAAACAACTCAGATTTTATTTGTTTTTATTGTTAGGACTGGACACCTTTTAACACATCGTACCAAGAAACCCTATGAATGTATAGTCAACAATTGTGGAAAGTCGTACTGTGACATAAGGTCACTTCGAAGACATTTTGAATCGCAGCACCATGGATTGGTTATGGAAGATAACATGCACTATTCAGGTGACGAGAAAGACGATGTACTTGCGCAAGCCGAAGCGGCAGCAGTTGCACAAGCCACAGCTTCACAAGAGACCCAGAAGAACAACATCCCGTCCTCTGAGGTTATCTCTGACTTCTTAAACACTATGGATACGTTAAACAGTGAACAGATAACTCAGTCGGGTAATGGAGATAGTTCTAGTGCTCGACTACAGTTCTTGGCTCAAACAGCAGCTCACCAGCATGGCCAATCTGGTCAATTTCCAATTCAAGGCAGTCCGCCAAACCAGCAACTGTCGCCAACACCACAGCAAAACCAGTCCATGAGTGTTCCATCTTTTCTGCAACAGTCGATCACATCTGCATCTGGTGTGAACACTTTAGCTGGGATATCAAATTTACCGATGTCAACAATGCCTCTGCAATCACGAAGCAATGTACAAAACTTCAGGCAGCTCAATCGTCTAGAATTGGCGGGTGTGCCAGGTATTAGATCAAAGCTTTCAGGGTTCCCCAGCAGACAGTAAGTTTTTATGTGTTCATTTTATGTTATTTTGTAAAAATATAATGTTTACTGTCTAACAATTATTTGTTATAGAGCAAATCTTGGAAAGGGTTTGTAATTTGAGCAGTAGCCAATTGTCTGACATTTTTATTTGTATTCTCTTAGCCTTTTAAAATGTTGTTATAAGGCTTTGTCTAGATTATCAATTTTTTTTGACAGAAAATTGTTGTATGCGCATATAAGGTCATATGCCTATATATGGTCATGGTGATGTCGTAGTGACCATATTTAGGCATGTCACATGTTGTGGAATAAAATTTGATAGTTTGGACAGGGCTTTAATATTTGTTTTTGTTTCCTGAGCTCTTAGTTCACCTGTTTCTTAATTTCTTAGGAATGATAAAAGCCAAGAGAAAAGACAACCTGTAGAATGTTCCATATGCAAGCGTAAATTCAAAAGTATGCCAGCATTGAATGGCCACATGAGATTGCACGGTGGTTATAGCAACACTAGGAGAATCAACGTTACAACAACTTCGACAACATTACAAAGACCTGTTCCAATAGAGACATCTGTGGCTGCTCCCTTGCCTAATATTTCAACAATTTCAGACTATCAAACCATTCAAACAGATCCTAGTACTGTAACTATAGCCAGTTTAAACCAAAGCTCTAATCTTGGAAATTACTTTCAACAACCCCCAGGCATTCGTAGAACATTAGATACAAATGCTTCTTATTCGTATCCAGGTGGGAAGCCTGCTAGTTGGACTGTTGCAATGCCGGCACGTTTACCGCAGTTTACTTTGCCAAGGCTGCCAGCCCCTACGCTACCGCGAGTTGGTGTGGGACTTGTTTCACAAAGTGTTCCAACATCAAATTTGTCTGGACAATTAAACATGCAAGACACTCACCTTCCACTTTCTTATAATCAGACTTCCATGACCTCTGCCATTCCTGTATCAACCATACCATTGAATCTTGAGAACCTGGTGTCAGCTCCTCAGGGTCTGACTCCGATACAGCCTATCACGACTATCATGAGTGTGACACAGAACTTACAAATCCCTGAAGCATTAGTGAAGCAGGAGAACCTAGCAAAAATAAATGATTCGGTATTAGGGACCTCTGTCAAACGGAAACATGAGGAATTGGGTCCACCTGTACTTCAGGCGATTTCACCTGTAGTACCCGTGACCACTACACAGGAACAACCTGTGGAAAAAAAGGATGATATTATATTTCAAAAGCCAACAGAGGTAAAGAATCCAAAGAAAAAGCCGCGGCCATCTCCCTTGGTCATACCACCCTGTGTAAACACAACCTCTGGAGGATTGATACCTGGAACTTACGCCAGTCAAATGAGGTCTCCACGTGATCTGGGGACAATGTTCTATGGCAACAAGTCAAGTACGCCACCTCCATACACACCTCCACCAATGTTGAGCCCAATCCGTAGTGGTTCTGGGCTGTATTTTAATAATGTTACAGTGCCATTACCTGTACCTGTACCTGCCACCACTCCAAAAACACCGAGTATGATTCAACTCCACAGGCGAAGTACAGGTAAGACTTACTTCATTTTGTTTTCTTCAAAATCCCACTCAGTAGAGCAAGTTTTCAGAGTTATGTATTACAAAGTTCAAAGTATTCAACTACAAATTAAAAAAAATATATGAAGAGATACCACCTGTCAAAAATATGCAAAACCCTAAAAAATACAATTCAACTTTAAAATAACTTGGTCACTATAAAAGAACCTCCAGTGAATGATAAACAGTTCAAAATAAATTCAAAACAATTTAATTTTAAGTATCTACTACAAAACTTCTTATAATGCTTACTAGCCAGTTCATGGGTCTATGCAAAGATTGTATCATTTCTGTGGTTTATATTTATTTTACATACATCTGACATTTTTTATGGTAAGATTTTACCTAAAGCTGGGTGCACACTGTCTGCTAACAGGACTGCTGGGCCCTGAAGGATAACGCTAATCATGCTACTCAGGGTAAAGTAGAAATAAGTAAAATAAATTTTATGGGAACTGCAAGTAACCATGTTTTTCAGTTTTTTCATTGATAATTCACTCAAACTGGCACAAAAAATCAGCATGTCATTAAGCACTCACACACAACATAGATGGATTCATTGGCCGACCATCAGCTCCTATGGTTGGCTGCAGTGTGCGCCGGCTTTAAATAACCGGATACCAGTTTTTATATTTAAGGATAGTATGTAGGAATTTACTTTGATTATGATAATCATTTTATTGGTATACTGTAGGTAGGCAAACAAGTCTGGATGCCCTAGGACTAGTAACAACTGCAGAACTAGAACAGGAGCTAGGAACAGTCTGCCAAGCATCTAGTAGAATAGACAAAGAACAACAGGAAACTTATTGTCATGGTATCAACAATGACATTGTTAAAGTTATAGAAGAGGAATTAAGTGCTGACTTCCATATAGACAGCTCACATGAAAGCAAACTCACCAAAGATGGAACCTCTAAACATTTAAGTTCAGTAGAGCACCAATTGGATTTAAATAATGCTTCTTCATTAGCAATAGAAAATATTTGTAATTCACTGACATCAGATAAACAACCCAGTGAAACTAGTAGAAAACCTAATGGAAGAAATTTAGGTTTAAGCTACAGCAAACTAAGAAAACCATTGAGAGAACTCCACCCACCCCACTCTAATCACAGCCAGGCTGACAAAGAGCTTGAATGGGCAATAGAAATGGTAGGCACGTTAGATAAATTTGTGGAAGAAATTCTTTCCTCGACACCCCTTCCCTCGACACCCCTTCCCTGTGTTGGGAAGACTGCCAGTGTTAGTCCAATAGTAGAAATGAAACTGACATCTTCAGAAATGGACAGTGTTGAGGACATCCTGCAGCTTTTGTCTAACCAACCATCCCAGAGGCATGTGATATCAGGTTTGTCTTGTACTAGTTAGGTTTATTGCTAATATTGACACTTTAAATATAAACTTAGAAAATTAACATTGGTACTGTAGTTAACCAGACAAAATATAATTCGTCAATCATGGGTTATAAAAATAATTTGAGCTGATAAATCAGGAGTTAGGTCTAGGCTTTTCTGATTATTATTTTGTAACAAAGGGTTTCAACAGTGCTTAGCTTGATTACCTAATATTACTTAAACTTGTTCATTAATTCAGGTGGTCTAGCTCTTAGATTGTTGAATATAAATCGTAAGAATAGTAATTGAAATACAGTACTTTAACTCTAAACCTTGTTCTGAAAAAGCCTCTTGATAGCTCAAATTTATTTATAAAATGTCTTATGTTTGTCCAGAACATAAAAACTTGGAAATATCATGCTTTTTAAATGCAAGTCAAAAAATGGAAGTTTAAGTCAACATGTATGTTGTGTGCCGAAGACATCCCTATTGTCCTATATTGCAACCTGTACAGTACTTGGATTGGCTGAAAAATGATGATTATGATTTTAATCTGTTTTGTTCTCTTTACCAGGAAGTAGCAGTGAAGAGGCATCAGAGTTTCTGTATTCAGAACCGTAAGAAATTCTTTTATTTTTCCAAATATTTATTAAATAAATGGCATATATATGCAAATTAACTTTGGATTTATATTAAATGCTGTTTAAATTGCTTAAATTTTGATTTCATTTTTTTTTCCAAGCGTCTATAGTGAAACACTTGCCGAACATTGAAGAAGAGGAAAACCAAGGACATAAATTTAATCCTAATAATTTTTGCATTTATAAATGGTTACAAATAATAATAATAATAATAGTATATAGTATAGTTATTTGATGGTATTATTTTTTAAATGCGTTTAAATTTTCTCTTTGTTAAATCATATAGGAAATCTGAAATTGACACAATTAAATTAAATTAACTCATACTCATCATTTGTCTAGTTTGTGTATCATGTTATATAATGTACACTTTAAATATTGTTATGTTTTTCCAGGCATATAAATGTAGGAACTGATTACCAAGCTGTATTACCACCATGTAGTAAGTATTCAATATTCATATTTGTAATCTAGTAAATTTATGATTATTTGATATTATAAGAATAAATTATTTTAAAAAAAGTATTTTGATAGTGCTTTGACAGCAATTCTATTATATTGCTTTTGGGATCTGGAAGGCTTGTATACAGAGGGTTTGGTTCTGGTGTAATCCATTCTGATATACCGAGGTACCACTTCCATTTGCATAAAGAATCATCAAAGTTAACTAATACAAGTGCGAGTGGCAGATGGTTTGCTGATAGGGTTGATAACTTGCTGTTATGTTGGCAACGACATCAAGTTGGTTTGGTTGACCGACTTTGTGATGAGTTAATATGAATAGTGATAGACTACTAAGCTAGTTGGTGAATGTTCACGTCTGCCTAATGTATGCTTTGTTGTGGTTATTATAATCTAAATTTTACATTGACATTATATATGTATTGTCCCCTGAAAATGACAAAAAAATGAAATTGCTCATTTTGCAGTAACATACAAATTATTAACTTGAGCATAGACATTATTGAATTTAAAAAATGTTTACCCTGACTTTTATACTGGATAATGTCAATACAAATAATAAAACACTTCCAGTTACTGGAAGTATTCCTATAATTTTTTGCCGTAAAATTATGGTAAACATTTTATAATACACTAGTTTCTATGTTCAATTTCAAATGTTTATGTTACTTCAAAAGTTAATTTCAAAAATGATTTTTTTGGTATTTTTGCATTTTAATAGTTATTGTTGGTAGTAACATTAAATCATAAAACGCTGGTAAATCTAAAAACTTGCATTTTTTTAATAGATATTTTTTCTTAGAAATTGCATGGCCATTGCATTGTTTTTTGCCTAGTAATGGCATTGAAATAATGTATTACATTACAAATACAAATAACATTTTAAAAATATTTCTCATTTGTCGAAAGATTTCATCCCTCTTTCCTGCTCATTTATTTCTGAAACTACTGTACAAGTCACCTTAACTACAGTACAGTTTGTAGATCAATACAAATGTCAAAAAATTGCTACACTACTTGTATAGAGTGCAACCATGTGGAATACATTATCTGTCTAATTTATTTTCATCAGGAAACAGAAGCTATATGGATTATGGCCCAGATCCAAGGGAAGGAACACCAATGTGGTTACCGCATCTGGAAGAACAGTATGCTGAGAATGAGTGTAAGTAAAATGACTCACTTCCTTGAGGTTACGGGGATGGGGCAGTGAAGTCAGTAATACTACATGAAGATTATACTTTGAAGATGATAAATTGTATGTTTGTGTGCACTAAAAACCTAATGAAGTTATATTAATTATTAAATAGAATTTAAATACAATTCTGTTTAGTAATTAATGTAATTATTTAATAAGCAGAATTTAAATATATTTAAAGATGTTTTTTGTTGAACGGTGATCATCATTGCACTGCCATTAAAGGCAATAATTTCTTATGTATAGCAATAATGATTATTGAAGAACAATGTCCTAATCACATAAACTGAGTTGCATATCATTATTGGCCTGGCAGGTTTATTAATAATGTTAATGACCCCAGTTCATGTTTACTCCGGTTACACAAATCTCAACATCCAACACATTACACAGGTAACATAGAGCATACAGTACAAATAGAGACGTATCATGTCAATTTATTACAAGGAAGTGAAATAGATATGTGGTGGTTTGTTTATATCTTTTGCTTAATATAGTATTAAATGTGGTATACATTTGTGGCCGACTGGCAAAACCAGGTACTTGTCATCAAAAATGGAAGTCTTCAAATCAGCTATAATTCCCTTGTATTGACCATCTTAATTCATGTTGGACTGAATATATAAATTATTATATTTTTGCAATTTGTTGTCTGTTTTTAACAATTTTTGCATAAATTATTAGCTTTTGCTTCTAGATTACAAAGATTTTATAGTGTAATTTTTATTTTATGAGATATGCACCTGTTTTTGCTAAGGTCCATCGCATTTGGTTTATCATGCTCATACCTCTTTTCTGTTTCCCTCAGTTAATAGTTTTATAGAGTTTGCAACATCAGGTGCTATCCCAGGTGCAGCCAGGAACTTGGAGTATGCATACCATTGTCTTGCAAGAGCAAAAGGTGATATGGAGGTAAGAACAACGAACTTAAGTAGCAGAAGAATGAACTCTTCGCGTTGTTTGCATTAAAATTGATGGAATGTACGCCCTTCCACGAAGTTTAGTAAATAATGATCATTTGCAGTGGAGAAACTACAGAAAACAAACAAACCCCAAGTGGTGCCCTTGATTATGAGACATAGCGCCGCTGCTCGGATGGAGAAATTTGCTCTCATGGACATTCCACTATATCGCAAACTGCTCTATCTTCTTCTATTTATTATCCTTGGTAAGAAGTATTTGGAGTGCAGAACCCAGAACACACCTGCACAAAATCACAGTAAAAAACGTACATAAGTATACACCCAATGTACTTACTACTACAATTTAACACTTCCATCTATATAAATGCATACCTTTACTACTGTGACTGCAATTTTGGATACATCTGCCATTATCGCAATTTAGCATACATCTGTTATGGACACAAGTTACCATACATCTTCTAAGAATGCTACCTAGCATACTTCTACCATGAATGAAATTAAGTATACATCTACTAGGACTGCAATTTAGCATACTTTGTATGTCGTGCTTACACCACAAAGCACAAGGTAGTTAAATGCTTGTTTGTGAGAATAACATATTTAGCATGTGGAGTTTGTTGTCACATTTTGTGTAGTTTAGAATACAAAAGCACTTAAAAAAAATACCACATGTCATAGAACATATGTTTTCTGTTTTCATGAACACGCATAAACCACTTTAAGCTTCATCAGGCCGCTGGAAATACATTACATGGTTCTTGTCAGCTGCCCGCTCGCGATTTCAGTCCACGCATCAAAAAAAATCTTTCATCTTTGTTTCGAGAATTGCTGATGAGAACCATGTAATGTAATTCCAGTTCCCTCATCGTGTTAATAATAATTTATACCAATGGTACATTGAACTGATTTCTTGTACTTTTGTCTTTGATACAAGCTTGCCTTATTGATGCTGATGTCTCAGGATGCCAAAGTACCTCGGGGGATGGCCGACAACTGTCAGGATTACCGTTATGATTGTAAGAATTATTTTTATTCAGTCATGCTTTTTATGTTGGCAGTTCCAAAACAGCCAATCTAAAGAGTTTGAGCCCAGGATTTTTACATTTTTAACAGGATAAATGTGGAAACTTTCAAGATTTAATAGACCGTTAAATTCGCTGGCAGACCATTTAAGCATTTTCTAGTAAAAATCAGTAAATTAGTTACAATTACTTATGTCCATCTGTCTCTCATTGGAAGTTAAATAAGGAATTCAGTGTTTCATTTGAATTTTACAGCTGTTACCATACACTAATTATTCTTTAATCAATATTTTTCCATAATATACAGTAATGTTAAAATGAAACTACAGTAATACCATAATAATATTATGTATTGGTTTATGAAGTCAGTATATTTTTTTTAATACATTAGTTTATGTTCCTAATGTGCTTTATCTAATTTGAAACAATTTTGTTGTTTAGTTCCTGAAAGATGGAGTATACAAGAGCGTAAGGCATTTAGAGATGGTTACAAGTCCAAAGGAAAAGATTTCTTTGAAATTGGGAAATGTGTAAGTGAAAAAAGTTAATTCCTTTGTAAAGTAAGATAATCCATCAGGAAAGGAAGATAGTCCATTTGGAAAAGTTAATCCATTTTGAAAAGATAATTCATTTGAAAAAGTTGATCCATTTGAAAAAGTTGATCCATTTGAAAAAGTTAATCCATTGAAACAAGTAGATATATATTACTGTTCTCAAGGGATTAGGGATTAACCTTTTCAAATAGAATAACTTTTTTAAAATATATCATTTTTTCCATATGCATGATCTTAAGATATTCTGTCTGGAAAATTATCCATTGGAAAAGAAAAGTGATACATTCAGAAATGCAAACCATTGGTATTTTAATTTTAGGTGAATTTATTTTGGATGTTTAATTGCTCAATGTTCGGGAATTCATATTTTATAGTGATTAAAATATGTGTAGCTCATGAATTCATCTTTATTGACCCAGGTTCCAACCAAGACTGTGAAGGATCTTGTGGAATATTATTACCGCTGGAAGAAGCTTTATCCTTATAATGCTGAAATGCAGAAGTTCTGTCACCATAGCGATGCCAACCCAACTGATGAGATGCGGCACCTTGAGTGTGTAAGTACATTCTTATTTTATGATAGCCTACAAATTCATACTTAATTCTCGAAAATATTTGTTTACTGATCACCATGTTCATGACTGCAACTAATATGGCAAACCATATATGAATAAATGCATTTTCTTTGTTACAATGAATATGGTTATTATTTACTGATTAGATATGTTCAGTTGACTGTCTATCAAAGCTGGCTATAATGTTAGCCTACTTGGACAAGGGATGGCATGTACAGTACATTTTCATCACCTTACCTCCCCTTTCCCTCTTCATTTTCATTCTCTATAGTCTCTGCACAGCAAATACATATCTATGTGTTTTACCTACCCATTTATTTTTTTTTCTGTTGTGTTTACTCACTGAACTGTAATTTGTAAGCTGTAAAATGTTGTTTTTAACTATAGTAGTACAGAATTGCACCAAATTTACATATTTGTGTAACATTTAATAAATATTATGTTTATTCTGATGTGTTACATGGTGTGTTTACTTGTTTTACTAGTACTATTCAAAACCTTGAGAGTGAATTAGTTGTCGAAACTAATCTGCTAAACTCATAAAAAGTTTTATTTTGTATATAGTTAACATAACCATACTTCTTCACAATCGACATGTACGCAGATCTGTGGCATTTCTGTATATTAACTGAACATTGTGTTTGGGTAAACCAATCCAATAAACCAGCAACCCCTCCCATAAACCAAACCACCCCTCCCTTTCATCATAAACAAAAATTAAGATGAAATGCTTAAGCACTAGGAGAGTTCTCATTGCACAATTTTTTCTTTTTGTTCTTTACTTATTTTCTCAGTTTATTTTAAAGTGTTGATTACTTTCTCATTTCTGTTCTGTTTGTCAGAAGTTATCCCTTTCCCCTTCCATTATTCTTTTGCATTTTGCTTACCAACTTTTTAACTCTTAACCATAATCTTTTTATTTTGTTGCAGACGTAATATTGTATACCAGCAAAATAAGCCTGCTTAAATCGCAAGTCTATAATACCTCCATATTATAGATTCTATTTTAGAGGCGTACATTAATTAAGTTGCTGTTAGAATTTTTGTTTACATATTAAATTCTTAATTTACATATTAAGTTATTGATTTACATATTAAATTCTTAATTTACATATTTACATATCAAATACCTTATTTACTTATTCAATTCTTAATTTACATACTAAATTTATTTTTCACATTTATTAAAATGTTAGTAATGGAAGAAAATGTTTTTTTTTTTAAGTCTTTTATTTACTTGTATATCAAGTAATCTTTTTATTTAAAAAAAAACAGCTAAAGAACTAAGAAGTGTCAAAGGCATTGTGATTGTATTTTTTCCCATTTTTCTTTAATTTAGTAAAAATTTCAAATAATAGCAGGGAAATATGTAATGATATTTAATGCTTTTTAATTTTTTAGATTAAAGTATAATTCAGAGTCAAAATATTGATTGTACATTTTTTAGGGTTCTATCTGCAAGCTAATACTGTGATTCATAATGAATTACTAGTTGTACAGAAATTTAACAAAAAGATTTAACAAAATAATCAGAAACAGCACAATTAAAAAGAATGAATGTAATATAATAATAATAATAATAATAATGTAAAAGAAATACAATTTTATAACACAAATAGTATCATTATTTTTATTATTTCAAATCATTAGAGGAACTTGCTTACAGCTACAATTTGATATATACACAATAAACATTATTTGTAATTAAAAAAATCCTTACTAAATATATTATCAACATCACTATCACATGACTAATAATCAATGTTGAGTGTCAGTTGCAGTGTTCAAGTGCTATGCCTAGCACTATGTGACCTTTTACCTGCTTTCTGTTGATTGTGATATAGCATTCTACTAACCTATCGTTCTTGTCCCTTTTTTCTCTTCAACCTCTCCACAGGATCTGATGCCGGGTGAAATTTTCCTTGATTACGTCCCTTTCAAAGAGTATAGACCCAATAAGTATTATAGAGGAGGGGGAAATGATAAGTCCAATAATCATGTTCAACCCTCTTCCAATAATCAGGATAGCAAGGTGGATGTGGATGGCCTGTTCAACTGTACTTATGCAGGATGTCCAGCTGTAAGTTTCAACATCTACATTTCTTGTTTTTTAGCTTTACAGTATACATACAGTTAAACTTGCCAAAGTCGATTTTGCCTATCTCAAATAATTTCAAGTCTATATTATTTTACATGCCAAATTGTTGTGTTTTCCATTAATTATCTGTAAGTCGTAATTTTATCTGTCAAACAATTTTTCAATGCCATTTTGGATTTTACCTAGGCAAGTTCAGTTGTATATTAATTATCATTGAAGTTAGTACTATAAAATAAATGTTTTGCAACATATTAAGTAATACATTTGTTTGACACTATTAAGACAAAAATATAATTTTTAGCCAAACTTTTATAATTTTCATAAACAGAAAATTTATTGTACATTTCGTGAATGTTATTCTGCATCTTCTGAATTGTAGTCCTTCAAGTCAAAACAGGCCCTGAATGGACACATACGAGTCCACGGGGGATCCAATAACTCCAGAAACCCAAGAGCTTGCAAGAGGAGTCCATCGCCATTATCAACGACCTCAAGTGATGGCAGCACCGACAGTTCTTACATAGCGCCGGAACCAGTACCAGTACAGGAACCTGTGAAAGAAGAATTTCCATGCAAGATTTGTGGAAAGTAAGTTCTTTATCGCTTTGTTTATTTCATACGAAATGATGGTGATGATAATGATACTTATCAGTTCTGAAGTATAATGTTTGTAAGAACTGATCTTGTGCGTAATGATTCTGATATGTAATAATCATGTGACACAGCATTTGGTGTCTACTGCTTCCAGATTGCTGTAATTTTCGATAAGGAGCTAATTTTAATGTGCATTAGTCTAATTATACTTTCTGTACTATGGCTACTGTATATTTTTATTTTAGGGATGCACAGTCAATGTAGTTCAGTGCACACAACATCAAAAGTCTTATGTACTTTGTTAAATAAATAAAAATCGAAATGGTTTTTCACCGCTACTTTGTGTTTGGCTTAGCCGAGGTTGATGGCTTGTGGGCCTAAGTAATCAACACATAACACTCCAATATCATTTTGGTATGACAATACTCTATCTGCCTTGGGTCGCCACAGAATTTTTATTCTGAAAGTGGGTCGCCACCTAAAAAGAGGTTGACAAGGAGGGATGTAATCAATAACGAATGCTAAACATTATTGTTTGACATTAATACATAAATTTTAATCTTTTGGCTTTATTTTATTGTATGATTTTATGTGGAAGGAATAAATGTTTATTTAAAGTTGTTAGTACAATATATATTTAATGAAATCCACCATTAATATATATGACTGGTTTTGCTTGTGGTTAGGTAAGTGCTAAAAATGCTAGATATATTCCACCCATTTTCAATTATTTGAGATAATGTTTGTGACTTTATTTTATCTCTCAGGGTTTTTTACAAGGTGAAGAGTCGAAGTGCACACATGAAGAGCCATTCAACCAAAGTTAAGCAGAATTCTCAAGCAAAGCAAATCAAGCCAGTTGTAGTACCCGAACCTGTCTACATACCCCCTGCTGAAATCCACAGGAGTGAGGATGAACATGCAAGTCAGAGTGAAGATGATGATGACGACGATGATGATGATGATAATGGTGGTGATGGTGATGATGGTGATGAAGAGGAAGAGGATGATGATGATGACGATGGATATGAGATAGATGGGGGAAGTGTGAGTGAAGCTGGTAGTGTGAGTGAAACAGCAAGTGATGAGGATTACGTTAATATGTAATAAAATGGAAATCCAAATATGGACATATTTTCGTCTTACTCAAGATTTAATCAAAGCATTTGAAATAAAATTTTGAATTTCATTAAGGTATCCTAAAACCAGTTTCCCATGAAGCTAATATGTGGGTGTGTCTTACTACAGTTTATTTTTTAAGAAGATTTAACAACAATGGAGTTTATTATATTCAGTAAAATATTTATATTGAAGTATACAGGAAGAGTTGTTTTTTTGTATAAATGGTTGATGTCTGTGAATTGTCATGTTGATGTAATGAAACTCCATGTGATCATGTAGAAGCGGGAAGGACACAAAGAATAAATAATTAATTTACGTCCGGTGCAATTATTGATTTATATCCTTAATCTGTATTATCAAAACATAATTTTGAGATTGTTTAAATGCTTTTGTGTAATTAGTTTTTATAAGCATTTCTTAATGTTTAATCTGGGGTTCATACACCTATGACTTCCAAAAATGTAGTCACTTGAGCTTTACACGATGTGTGCGAGTCCCCCTACAGCTTGTGCAACGCCCTCCCCCACTGGAAATTTTTGAAGCAAAAAAAATTATGCTCCCGTAGTTAAAAATTACCACATACTGTTTTACCTTATTTTGCCAGCTAGTGCCCCCTCACTCAATCATTGAGTCCTCCCACTTTGCCTTTCTAGTGCCCCCTCACTTAATCATTGAGCCCTCCCACTTCGCCTTTCTAGTGCCCCCTCACTCAATCATTGAGCCCTCCCACTTTGCCTTTCTAGTGCCCCCTCACTCAATAATTGAGCCCTCCCACTTTGCCTTTGTGCTCTTTCCCCGCTAATACTCCTACATATTCTGCTTGCTTTCTTCCTTGTGATTGGTTGTAATGTCGAACGGTGACATTTACATTTATTTGACTTAAAATTTGCACTATGTGTTATGAAATGGTTGCCATATCCAATAGAATATAAATGTAGTGGTTAATATTAGATGTGCAATGGCATACTATGTTGGTGCTTAATACTATAGGTGATTAGTTGTGTATCTCAGTTTTCTGGTTGCTATCTAAATCTTCTGAATTTTCAATCTTGATTCCTTCTTAGAATTTCTGTACGTATTATTGTGTGATCATGTGTGTGTCCTGTTAGTCTATCATATCAATGCAACCATATCTTGATTAACAGTGTGTAAAAGAATCAAGTCAAAGAACAGAGTATGTCTCAAGTAATAACAAATGCATTGAGATTATTAAAAATGAAATATATATGTACAGTATATGGTTTGGATGTCTGCTGCCACCTACAGCTTGAGCAGCATTGGTGCCCTGTCCAATGAGGAATTTATACTTAGTATTTTTGTAGGTCTTTAAATACATGTAAAGTTATTGATTCACCCAGTAGGCTTCAACTTGTGAGATGCCATGTCTGAGGTGTGGGGTTTAGGGCCAAAGAATGTTTTTAATGAGAATAGTATAGTATAGTACAGTTGTATGATATATAAAATATTGCCTTTTTTAATGGAAATAGTTGGAATGTCCAGTAAGTTTTCACTCTGTTCTTCCAGAGATCATGTAGTACCTTCCTTCCCCCCCCCCACACTTTTTGTACATGGCCTGAATTTGTACTTAGAGCATAAAGATTTCTTTGATCATTTGCATGGATATAGAATGGGACAGGGTGGAGAAAAGGAATATAAGGAACATCTAGAAACCAAGAGTTAATAAGAACAAGGATTTTGTATGGGAAATATTATAAATCAACCTAGAGATACTTTTCCATAGAAGAACATGTGATGGTGGAATTTGCATGTACACTTAATAATATAATGACAATGAGAGATAATACAGCCAAAATCAAATAATGACATATGATGTCAAGTCAGTGACGGCACGTCACATAACATGTGCTGTACTTAACATCTTCTGGTAAGATGTCCAATTTAGAAAGAGGATAAAAAGTGGTTAATACCTTGGAAGAAAGAGATGTATTTTTGTAAGATTTTTTTTTAAATAGAGCAACTTGGCAAAAGAATGAGACGGTGTGCAATTGATAATTTAGTTCTTTCATCGTGAGACAATGGACTTATTATTGATTCTTAAGAATTATTGAGAAGAAAATGTTTGATTGTGATAGATTTGTTTGTACCTGAAGGACTGATTAATTTTGCCAACTTGTTGATAATTACCACATAGTCAGATCTGGAATGAAATTTAAAAACATATTTTCCAAATGTAGTTAGAGTAACAACACCTCACAAACGCAAAATTGTCTTTGCAATTTTTTAAAGACTTGCCAAATAACTTCATAGAAACAAGATGATTTATGTGGCAAAATGTCCCTGTAGTATAGGCCTATGGCTTTTTTTTATATACAGTAGGAATACTCTATGTTCCTGTAAATATATGTACAGTCAAGAAATAATCATATTGTAAATAATTTTTAGAAAAGTGGCATGTTTCCGAGCATGTACATTACAGGTTGCATTATAATAGTCAAAGTATTTTAATGAATTCAGAAACAATAATCTAATGGTGGAGAAAAGTGTATTTACTAAACAATAATGACAACCTTTTTGTTGCTAATGAATTTTCTTTGGAATGTTGGTTTACACAATAATGATCTGGACCAAATATAAATACAGATGCATGATGGGAAATTAAATAAATCCCATTTGTTAACATTATATTATTGTGATTACAAATAGTTTATTATTTTTCTGGTTACAATACTTATCAATTATTTTGTTATTTTTTTTTATCGATTTTGAAATCAAATATGTATAAATGTTATTTGTTTGGTGTTGATACATCATGAAAGCAATGTTCTTGATGTTAAAAACGGTTGTAAAGGATTGTTCATTTTGCTATTTGATTTTTTTTTTCACTTAGGAGCACATTCAATCCAGACTCAATCTGTCTTAATGCATATTTTATTTTTTCTAAGTAAATGATCTTGTTTAATTGAGATTACTTTTGATTTATGGCTTACATTTATTAAATGAAACAAATGTTGAAGATGATTTTTGTCTGACTTTTCAATAATTTGTTGTATGGTGTGAAGCATCAGCATTTTGTATTATCTAAATTTACTAGGTATTTACTAGGGTTGGGGAGCGAAGCCCTGAATTCAACTGGCAGTTTAGGGGTTTCAAGGGCTTGTTTATCGATTTTAGAGTCTACTAACACTGTAAAAAAATATAAACAGTATTGAAATTTACTGTTATCACAATTACTACCAGCCATCCAAGGACAAAAATATAATGATGTGTGTCATCTGAACGATTACTGTAGTTGCAAAAGTGACCGGTTTCTGTCATTTAGGACTCCCCAACGTCTTGTGCGAGAACAATTTTCTATAAGCAAGGTCTGTTATGCATGCTTTTGAAAACAATTAAAAGCTATGCACACATTCTTGTTTGACTGGATTGTTCAAATGTTGTATATCGTCGGGGATCAGTAAATGATTTTGTGTTGTCAGGTTTTTACCTTTCTATACAACAATCCATAGAATAGGTAGGTAGACTCGTATCCTGTCATCACTCTTGCAGGCTACCCTGGTACGATGCACTACAAAAATGCTTACCTAAACATATTTCTAAAGTACAGTATGCCTAATTGTAATATATTTTAATTCAAAGTTTATTCAACTATTGTGTTCAGAGTTATTGTTATGCCGTCGGCTGATCATACTTTATGAATACAATATTATTTTAATTAAATACGCTCCACCGTCAAGTAGAATGATTTATTGCTCTATTGTTATCACTATTTATTTAACTTTCACAGCACGTCATTTGGCAAGGATATTATGAACAATTCACAATTCAAATCGGTTAGTCGCTCGGTAAATTGAACCAACATTTATTATTTCGTAAACAATTTCTGAAAGTCATAGTCATAATTCGTTTTTGGTTCGGATTATGGGATTAAAACCAGGGTTCTAATTGAAAAATTCAAGAATACATCGGACTAGCTTTATAGCTCAGGTGGTAGAGCAACTTTGATTTAACTGTCCCGATTTTAGCATTTGTCTTATTTCCCGTCTTGTTTGTAGGTTTCGTATATAAAAAGTAAAAAAAAAAGCTGATATAAGGTGCAAAATATGTAAAATATTAAACTATATTATGAGACCCAGCTATGTTGAGCTCATCTAAATGTTTATAAAACTATGTAGTCTACAAGTGGTTAAAAAAGTTCAGTAACTTAATATAAAATACAACAATACAAATATACTAAAAATTATGACAGTAATTAATTGGATAAACTAACTATATTAGTTAATTAACTATATTTTAAGGCCTAGCTATGTTTAGCTAATATTAAAGCTGTATTTACAAGTTGTTAAAAGAAGTTCACTCAGTAATTTACTAAAAAATACCAACAGCGGTGGCGTCAGAAACTTATGGTCCAAATTGTGCTTTCAGACCACAATCCGCTGCATGTGTTGAGTTGGAAGATATCTGAGCTGCGATGCTTGTTCCTAACACCACTTTAATTAAAACCAGGGTTTTCTAAGTTGCTTCGAAAGATAAAAACGTTGATTGCCACGTTTATTTCATTACCGTACCTTTCACTTTTCGTTCCTGATTCTTAAATTTGTGGATACCAATGATTTCATAGGCTACACATAGGCAAGATACTTATGGCTGACTCGTTGATTACCATCGTGTCGTCCATGCATTTTGTGATGTCCCGATCTGTGTCAAGGTCATTATGTAAGCAACGAACAGATATGGTGTCCACGTGTGGATCCTTGCAAAAGCACCATCAAGGAATTGCTCGCATTTACAAAATCCTATTTTCTGTACATTATTTACCGAGCATTGGAACAATATAATATAATATCGATGTGGATATTATTATTATTATATTTAGGCTCCCGTCAGGAACATATGTGTATCTATTTAATGCAAGGGTTAATTATTTTCTGCATTTTTCAATGTAGAGACCCAAATTTGGAAAAGTTAAACGACACACCGCAGCAGGCCATGCTTTGATGGTCGTGAATTTGATGAAGCCTAGTCATAAATAACAAATTATTATCAATATATAAGAAGAAAGTAAATAGTAGAGTCGAATTGTTCGTGAATTATCATAAGCTAGACGATGTTTATTTACACGAACAAATCGCAGATAGAGAATCGTCACAGCACTATATCTGTCGATTATCTACATACAAGTAACGGACACTATCGATCTGTCCGGCTAGACTCGTGAATTTGATAAAGCTACAAAGTGTTCACGAAGTTATTAAATAAATATTCGAACTCTTTGTCAAATTCAACTGAATTTTATTTAACAACAAAACACAAATATCAAGTAACATGACAATGCTGGAACTCAAGAGGGCGACATTGCATTGTTAGAGTATTAAAATAGACAGCCAATAGTTAAGACACAGATTGTCTTTTCCGTAAATTGATAGGTGCTCACAAGTGCAGGCAGCACACACAAAACGATATTTTTCTTTTTCTTTACAACTATGGGTTAACATTGCATTGTTAGAGTATTAAAATAGATCACAGTTCTCCGTATGGAACTGGTGTCACTTTAGTAGTGCCTGAATATATAATTAGATTATGAATATGCCTAAGTATTACAGTTTGTGCAATTATAACTGTGTTGCCTACATTCCATTATTGTCTAGTTATAAAAGACAGCCAATAGTTAAGACACAGATTGTCTTTTCCGTAAATTGATAGGTGCTCACAAGTGCAGGCAGCACACACAAAACGATATTTTTCTTTTTCTTTACAACTATGGGTTAACACCTTTTAAAGCAATTTCTTGATGTAGAGAGCTACTGCTTTATGAACGCAAAGGTGACGAACAACATTGTCTTTTTCACCACGACGTCGCTGAGCGAGAAACTGAAGGAGAGTGGGAGCGTAATACAAAGCGATGGTTTCTGCTACTCCGAAAATGCCCTTCACTTCTTTCTCTTTGTGAAAAACATTTTTAATATACATGGCAATACAAACATAAAACGTCATTACAAGCACTTTGACGAAGATAAAAAATACCTGTCTCCTGACCGGATTGCATTGTTCGATGCAGAATTTTAGCAGAGGTCTGGACAAGTAGGTTGCGAAGTGGTCATGGTAAAGAATAACTTCTGGAGGTTTTGGACCCACCTTGAGAGTTATTTTTAATACACCATCAGCTTCATCTCTTCGCTCTAGTATGTCTGAACTGATTATTCCACAATCGTTACGCACATGTCGCAAATGCTCATCACCTTTCAGTATGTCTACGATTTGATCGCGCAGTTTCTCATAACTTTCCCTTAGGTCCTTAAAGAGATTGTATAGAACCAGCGATATTGCGCCAACTAAAGATACGTAATTGAATGCCATGGAAGGATCCATCACTGCACCGAAGTAGATAAACATAGTTACATCGACAAACAAATAAGAGAAGAACATGCTTGCTATAATGATGTATACAACAAGAATAACACTAAATAGAAAACTCAAGACACTTGTTAACACGTTGATACTATATGAATTCGTAGAAAGTGCGAGCTTTGTTGCGGTAAAGATAGCACAGGATATTTTCTTGTAGAAATAAAATGCTGGAAGGAAATGATAAATTAGGGTAAGCAATAACATACTCATGAAGGTGAATGAGCAAACAAAAACAGACACAACTCCCTTCAGGATACCAATAGGCAAGTTAGAAGTTACCTCATCCCATGAACAAAGCAGCGCCAGACTCCTAGAATACAACATTGTCCAGAAGCGTAAATCAGTTAAGAGAAAGACCCGTTCTTTCATGCAATGGGCCAGGAATTGATATTCTTTATCTCTAGTGTTCTTCCGAAAGACATCTTCTGGATATTTCCACCAGTCAAGGAACTTTGTAGGTTGTGAGTTTTTGAGGCTGGCGCTCCAAACCTCTGGAATTGAAACCGAAATGAGAACCATAATTACGAATACGATTAAGATAACCCGATGAGGAGTATTATAGAACCGGGTCAATATTACGAACGAACAAAGGAAAAAAACGACGCGACGGGCTCGCGACTTTACCGCTTTATTCCCCTCCATGTAGAAACACAATATGCATCGCACGAAATTCATGAAATACACTGGGCTTTTGTGCGAGGGTTGAAAATTTTCAGAGTTTATATTAGGAGGGTAGATTAATACGGTCGGTTTTGAACTCGGAAAGTAGTATACAAGCAGCGGGGAGTACAACCAGAGGATAACGGCCAATATCAAGATCACGTAGTAATTCATTAATAATTCCTTCTCTTTGAGTATACCAGGTCTGTTCTTGTCGTAGCAGTTGTAATGAATAAAGTCAGCCTTAGAGAGGCCTTTCCCAAAATAAGGCCTCCTGGAGAATAACTGCCTTAAGAACCGCCAGTAGTAAAATAAATCCGGTATCGCAGAATTAGGATTGAGTATTACGTCGGTAACGTCATAGTCAAGCTGTCGACAGACATAGTCCCACTCAATTTTGCCCTTGGTGACGTTTGACATGAAACTTATCATATCGTACTTGGTCAACGACCGACGACGCGTTCCATTTAGAAGTTCAACACATGAGTCGCTGGTCCAGGTACCAAGAAGATCTCCTTCGCCGTCAGGCTCCCAGAAATCGTTCGTGATTATTCCCATGGTTCCAAGCGATAACACGTTGAAATTGTGCGGGAAGTAAAGCATGTAGTCATGTGTTGCCGCAACCCACACCCACGTCTCAAACTCGTTCTTCGCCTGTTTCCAAGTTCTCGACTCACGATCGTGATAAGATAAGGGAACTTTGAAGCGCAAAAATACCTTTTGCCTATTATGAATTCTATCGTTTACTTTCTTGACCATTTCATCTCGGTTTGTCCAGTTGAACTGACAGTGGAATTCAGCAGGGCTTGATTGCAGATGAGTATTTAAAAAGTACTGGGAGAACAAATTTGGAGCTTGGCAATTTTCGACAACGGAGGTATTAGAAGCGCTTATACCGCCGAGGATGTACATTATTCGGAACAGTAGGCCTATATAAAGGTGTGCGTATAACACTACCTATAGAAAGAGAAGGAAAGATATATTGTCATACTCCAAAGCATGTTTTAAAAACTTAACTACGGTCAGTATCAAATCAAATAAAACATACATTATCTGTTATGATGGGGGAGGGAAGAATGATTTTTCCAACGGTGAAAAAAATGTTAGTGGCATCCCAGAACTTTCACAGTGGGCCCGAGGTAACCTTTCTGGGCAGGAAACTACAGGGGTATGACAATTTAGCGATTCAAAAGACTTTAAACAAGTCTCACCCTGTAAAAAAGTTTTTATCCTCTTGACTTTGTAGGGCTATATATTTTTCATTTTTTCCCATTATTTTTACTAATTCTGAATACCGGCTGCCCTCCCCCCCCCCCCCCCCCCTGCTAAAAATCTGTATAGACATTATATATTTTCTGCCAAAAAGTGGGGGGCTCGGGCCGTCCGGTCGGCCATGCTACTGGGGACATCCCTATTAAGAGGAAACCTTTTTGGCCCCGAAGGTGTAACCCTATAATATGGATTCTACTGTAATTTCATTTATATTGTCAACAGATAGGTGTGTTCTGGCTGGGATATGCACTTTCCTGCATTCTCAGGAGTTATGGCGATGGTGATTAAGAGAATGATGATGCCATAGGTGGTGAGTGATGGAAGGACTAATGTCATCAAAAAGCTCCTCATCATAGGGTAAAGCTCCCTTTTAAAAGGTATAGAGGGTGGGGCATTTATCTGAGCACTCAGTGGTGGTGCCAGTGGGATGGGGGGGGGGGGAGAGGTGGGGAAAGCTCCCATGTCAGGGAGAAAATCCACACTTCGTCGGGCAGAAAAACATTACTGTGAAGGCATGTATTTTCTTATTAGATAGATTCTAATATTTGAAACTTTTTTTTTTTTTGAAAATTGTCATATTTTTTGGAGATTCGCCCTCTGGACCACTATCGAAAGTTGAGCGACGCCCAACCACGCCCACTTTGCTCTCATCGGGGACATCAGTCAACATCCCCCCCCCCCCCCCCCCCCACAACCAGTAGCGTATCTCCCCCCTCCACTTCCATCGGGTACCTCAGACCACTCGTCGGGCGCCACTCTCGGTGAGCACCACCATGGTGAGGTGTGAACATATTATATATGAATTATATGTAAACCTATATAATTTTGTTAAATAATGAAAGTACATTTGCGCCTCATACATCAAGGTCATAGGCCTTGAGTTGGGTGTTTGAGACGTTTATCATGGCATTAATATTTGGGAGCCAGTCCATGTAAAGAGTGGAGACTTCCAATTCCAGGTCCTGGGTTCAAATCCAGTGGCACAATAATTTGTAAACACTTTCTTGCGACAAATCCATGTTATTTGTCTTCCGGGCTTACGGTACTTTTATAGAGCACCTTTCAGTTAGTGGTGACTCATTCTCTTGGGGATGAACATGAAGAAAACATAGAACAGATGCTCCCCTCTGACAATATAGTCATTGTGGGCTCGGTGGCGATATGTATCACATCATAAATCACACGTGTAAACATGCCACCTTAGGATGGTTATAACGACGGAAAAAGACCATGAGACAATCTGTTTATATATAGGCCAATCCTACTAGATCTGCAAAAGAGTGTGAAGAGCTTCCGTATCTATTGGAGCGGATCGGACCTAACCTAATGTTGTTTCTGAAATTGTTTCATTTGCTTAGTATTTTAATTAAAATTCACTTCGACAAAGACTACTTTACAGAATTACTTACATTGCACATTATTGCATAGATCTTTTGGATGCTTTTCTGGTGCTTGTCTTCTTAAAAAGCGTGTCCTTCGAGGTGTGCCGTATAATGAAGTGTCTATAAGAAATTTAGTGTACGTGGCAATATCGATGACGCGGCCTCTTCTAATCAAAAGAATTCTTCACCCAAAACATGCACCCATCCGTAGATCATTCAAACACATTAACAATAACAATACATTTTCATTTGGCTTATTCCTTTTTGCAAGAAAAATATTTGTATATGACGTGGGTATCTGCTGCTACCTACAGCTTGACAAGTATATTGATGCACTGTCCAAAACAGTGAATTTATACATAGTTTTGTAGATTATTGAATAGGCTTACATGTAAAGACTCCATGTGTGTCCTATAAGGTTTAGGGCGAAGGCCAAAGAATGTTTTAATGTACATAAATTCTTTTAGATTAAAAACGATATAAGGAGCATATAGCAACCAAGAGAGTTGATAAGATCAAGGATTGTTTCTTTTTGTTACTAATGACTTTTCTTTGTACTGTGTTAATTGACAATTTGCGACTTACGTTACGTCAGTAGATGTACTGGATATGCCGCTGGATAAATATTGCAGAAGTGATATATATAGAAGGAAGGAGTCACGAACCGATTGAATTTATTTGGTATAAAAAAGCATAATTTAAACATAAAATTTAATAATAAAAAAGTGAGGCGTAATGGACATTATCGCTCGTGTTTTATTGTATAATATATTTACTACACGGTGACACACGTAAATTTGGCGAGCCTCGAAGTATATACATACATGCAAACTTCCAAAGATAGCCAAGGTTAACACAAACAGCCATATACGACTTTTAGTAAGGACAAAATGTTACAAAATTCCAGGCGTCTTGTACAAATCTGGCAGATATATATTGTAGCACATATCATTTTACAGCATTTTTGAGTTCATAAACATTAGGCCTAAGTTAAGTTTAAAATAATAAATGACGAATATCACGACTTTTTTAGCAGGGGACTATGTAATCCAGTTTTTATTGTTACCGTATGTTTATCTAACTGCTTGTATCCACTTTAAACAAAAAATAAATACTGTATTGGCTCAAAATTGTTTTTCATTTGCAAAGGTCTTTCTGAAATTATAGTTAAAGACGTAGCAATAATCAATATTATGTCGTAGAAATTAATCTTGAATATATATGGAATTACTGTACTTAATTTTGCTACTGGGCTTCACAGATTGATTAATCTATGATACTCACAACCTCACTAATTTTGATATCCTGTATTTCTAGTTAAAGCCGTGATGATTGCATACTGCTGCTTTCAGCGCGTACTGCTGCGCAAGCGCATTGGAATAGGTCGCAAAACAATGTTTCTTAAAGCCATTTCATGTTCTTTCTTAATGTAAAGAGCCACTGCTTTGTGCACACAACGGTGAATAGCAACATCGTCTTTTTTACCCTGATGTCTCTGGTGAGCGAGAAACTGAAGGAGATTCGGAACGAAATACATGGCGATGTTTTGTGCTACCCCGAAAATATTTCTCATCTCCTTCTCTTTGTGGAAAACATTTTTTATCCACAATGCAATGGAAACGTAGAACGTCATTACAAGCACCTTGACCACAATGAAAAATATCTGTCTCATGACGGGATTGTATTGTTCGATGCAGAAATCGAGCAGAGGTCTAGACAAGTAGGTTGCAAAGTGGTCCTGGTAAAGAATAACTTTTGGAGCATTCGGACCCACATTGAGAAATATTTTTAATTCACCATCAGATTCAACTCTTCGCTGAAGTATGTCTGGATGGGTTATTCCACACTCTTTACGCACATGTCGCAAGTGATCCTCTCCTTTTAGTATATCTACAATTTGATCGCGCAGTTTCTCATACCTTTCCCTTAGGTCTTTAAAGAGATTGTGTAGAACCAGTAATATGGCGCCAACTAAAGATACGTATACGAATGCCATGGATGGATCTAGCACTGCGCCGATGTAGGTAAACATAGTTACCTCAGCAATGAAATAAGAGCAAAAAATGGTGGTAATCATGATGTATACAACAAGAAATACACTGCATAGAAAACTCAAGACATGTGTTAACTTGAAGTTGATAATGTATGAATTTGTAGAAAGGGCTACCTTCGTTGCATCAAAGATAGCAAAGAATATTTTTATGTAGAAATAAAATGCTGGAACGAGGTGATAAATGAGAGTAAGCAAAGACATACCAATAAATGTGACTGTGCAAGCAAACACACAAACAATCAGCTTCAGAGTACCGACAGGAAAGTCAGACGCTAGCTCTGCCCAAGTACAAGAGAAAAGCGGTAACTTGAAACTCTCAGAATACAACATTTTCCAGAAGTTTAGATTTACTACGAGAAAGACCCGTTCTTTCATGCAATGGGCTAGTAATTGGTATTCTTTCTCTCTAGTGTTCTTACGAAAGACATCTTCTGGATAATCCCACAAGTCAAGGAACTTTGTAGGTTGTGAGTTTTTGAGGCTGGCGCTCCAAACCTCTGGAATTGAAGCCGAAACGAGGATCACAATTACGAATGCGCCTACGAAAATCCAATGAGGTGTATAATAGAACCGGAACAACATTACGAACGAACAAAGGAAAAACATTACACGACGGATTCGCAACATAGCTTTATTCTTCTTCATGTAGAAACAAAATATGCACCTCACAAACTTCATAAAATGAACTGGGCTTCTGTAGGTGGGGTGAAAATTCTCGGGCAATAAATTAGGGGGATACATAGAGTCGGCTGGATTTGAACTCGGAAAGTAATGAATAAGCAAGGGAGAATAGAACCACAGTATAATGGCCAAGATGGAGATCACGAAGTAACTCCTTAACAATTCCTTCTTATCTAATTCACCAGCTTTATTCTTGTTGTAGCAGTTGTAATGAACAAAATCATCCTCAGCGAGTCTTTTACCAAAATAAGGCCTTCTGGAAAAAAACTGCCTTAAGAATCTCCAGTAGTAAAATAAATCTGGTATCGCGGAATTAGGATTGAGTAATATGTCGGTAACGTCATAGTCAAGCTGTCGACAGATGTAGTCCCACTCAATTTTGCCCTTGGTGACATCGGACATGAAACTTAACATATCGTCCTTGGTAAGTGGAAAACGTCGCGTTCCTATTTCAAGTTTAACACAGTCGTCGTCCCAGGTACCAAGAAGATCTCCTTCGCCGTCAGGCTCCCAGAAATCGTTCGTGATTATTCCCATGGTTCCAAGCGATAACACGTTGAAATTGTGCGGGAAATAAAGCATGTAGTCATGTGTTGTTGCGACCCACACCCACGTCTCAAACTCGTTCTTTGCTTTATTCCAGGTTCTCGACGCATGATCGTGATGAAATATGGGAACTTTGAAACGCAAAAATAGTTTGTTCCTTTTCGTGATTCTATTGTCTACTTTCTTGACCATTTCATCTCTGTTTGTCCAGTTGAACTGACAGCGAAATTTGATTGGGTTTGGTTTCAGAATCGTATTTAAAAAGTACTGAGAAAAAAAGTCTGAAGTTTGGCAAGTTTCGACGACGGTAGCCGTAGAGCTGCTTACACTGGCAATGCCATGAATCACTCCAAGCAGTAAGTACAGGTGTGCAGATAGCACGATCTGTAGAACACAATAGCAAGGTAATAAATTATTATTTTTATTCTTATAATTGGTAGGTAATATTAACAAAAAATATTATTATTAACAGACTCAAGGGTGAGTCAGGAAAAGTGTTACTGGTTGCTTTTCTTTGGTGGCTTTTGTCCTACACCCCCCCCCCCCCCCACACACACATCAAGAATGAAACACACGACAGACTCAAACATGGCTTGGGTCAGCCCTGTGTGACGTGGTACACTGATTATGAATACAAGAGTGCACAAACCCAAAATGAGTGTGCTATGCACATTGCACAAAAGTATTACAT